TGATCGAGTGGTATGTATGTAGAGCTTTCTAAATAATAATTAAGATGAGGCTAATGATGACGACAATGATGATGATGCGTACCTATAAAGAGGAGCTATTGTGTCTTCCGTGCCTGCGACTATCTTCTGGAACCAAGGAGAGACAAAGATGTTTCGAAGTTTTTGATCACCCTTATACCCAGTGGCATAAATCACCAAATCAGATTCTATGGAGGTAGTCCCATCTTCTATGAGAACGCCGTTGTTGCAGAATTCAAATGTCTTAGAAGGTTTCAGAATGATACTTCCTTCTTCCACTTTACCATAAAAATTTTCTGGTAATATACAGAACAAACCAGCAGCCATACCTTGGAAGAAACTGTGCTCAGGTACCATCCCATACTTTTTCAAGGGAATATTTTTAGTCAAGTAACTCTCTGTGAATTTCGAGAAGATCCACCTCTACAATTGAAAATTACAGTTTTTGTTATAGTTAAGAGAAATCATCTACATATCTAACATTCAAAATTTTATATTTGTGAACATGTTGACGCCATAAATCTATCCATGAAAAAGTGTAATTCACTTTTAAGAAAATAGTATCAGAGGTATCTTTTATTTGAGTGGTATGTATATAAATATGAATATTCAGGGGTTGTTAATAAAATTGGGTTATATGCATGTAAATGACCTAAAGTAAGGGAAATTTACATACATACCGCATAATTCTTATGCATTTACATATCTAAAGCCCATACTTTGATATTTAAAATTATAATATAATGGTGTCATAAACTCATGCATGAAACAATATATTTCATTTTTAAAAAGATAGTAATGGCAGTATCTTTGATGTCGTATTACAAATTTGACAGATTTGCATGTAAATAATACAAGTCTAGGAGTAACAACGAGCCAAAAGTGCATTTACATACTAACACCAAACTTTTCAATTTATACGTAAACATGAGACCATACTAATACATGAAAATGTGTTCCTCACTTTTAAAAAGCTAAAACAATGGCATATTAACATAAAAAGGTAAATTTTAGATGTTAGATAGATGTAAATAAATAAAAGAATTTGGGGGTACGTATCTAAATAAGTGAAAAGTTGCATACCAAAGGTGAAAGCAGGGTGGCTAGGAGGCTTAACATGAGTCCTTCTCCAGGCTTGTGAAGAAGCAGTTCTGAGAAGCGATTTAGATACAAGTAAGGTAGAAGAATGCCCCATGACGTCAGCTGAGATAGATTCCATCGTTTTGTTCGTACTATCATTGTGCATGGGATTGCAGGCCCTGTTGATAAGCATCAACATAATTTAAATATAATATAATGGTGTTATGCATAAAATCTTTTTTTTTTTTTTGCATTTATACAATTCAAAATTTTCATATCATCTTTTTTTTTTTTTTGCATTTATACAATTCAAAATTTTCATATCACATAAAAAATTTCACTTTTAAAAAGTAAAATACTCCATTTCATGCGTAGGTTTGGGGGCATGTACGGTTGTTAATGAGCCAATTTCAAGCTGAGCTAGGGCTATCTCGAAATCAGCTCGAATGGATTCATTTTGGATCGAAATCGGCTCATGACTTGTTATGTTCAATTTCGAGCCAGTTTGACCCGAAATCGATACGAGATGGCTGAAATTTGAGTTATTTGGATCCGTTACAGCTCTAAATAGGCTTGATCTAGCTCAAAATCAAAACAATATAGCTCAAATTGAGCTATTTCGATCCGTTTCAGCTCAAAAATGACTCATTTCTCGTTATATTTCATTTTATTTAGTATTATATATAATTTTACTAATAATATCATTTTCAAGCTAAATTCAAAACCACATAGTATATATATATAAATGCATAAAAATAAAAGTTATGCTTTATAAAATAATTAAAAAAATTGCATAATTACCATTAATATTTGCACATTCTGCAGCTATATCCAAAGCTGATTTGAGAAAGCCCACAACAGTGACTCGCTTTCCCTTCACTAATTCGGCGGCGGCTGCATTGCACATATTGGAGTAATCCATAGAGTGGATCACTTCACCCTTGAAAGCCTCCGGACCTTTTCCTTTCCGGAAAAGCCGGGATATTTGGAACTCCGCTGAACCGTCCGATGCAGAGGATCACGAAATCCATCACATGCACCTATTTTTTTTTAAAGAAAATTATAAATTAAAAAAAATATTATATTCAATTAAATATTTTCTTTTTTTTATTTGGAAGACTTCACGAGTAGTTATCACGTAATTTCCAGAGGTGCATGCTGTGCCCGATCTCCAAATATAAAAAAATTGAAAGTGGGCCTACCGACATACACCTTTGCGGGGATCGACCGTGGAGATCGGACACCCTTTAGAATATTTTTTCCAATTTCTATGTATTAGCATATCAAACCTCCTAAACTTCAATTTTTACATATAAATTGTTCAACTTTATGCTAAAAATATAAAAATTGGGTGATTTTTAAGTAAAAAGTGAAAATTAGGTGGTTGAGATGTCAATTTATAAGAATTGTGTGGTTTGTATCTAATTATGCCTTTTTTAGACTTTTAATTTACATATATACCACCAAATTCGCATGTATTTAGATAACTAACACCTAAACTTGACCTTTTTATACTTCTAGCACCCAAATCTTTCAGAATAAATAAAAATATCACTTTTTTTTTTTTAATTTCAATGCATGTTGTTAGGCTTAGGCAAGATGACAATCTTCTAAATAATAAATAATATATGTAAGAATTTGAAGAGAAAATATAAAGTATATTCAATTAAATATTTTCTTTTTTTTATTTGGAAGACTTCACGAGTAGTTATCACGTAATTTCCAGAGGTGCATGCTGTGCCCGATCTCCAAATATAAAAAAATTGAAAGTGGGCCTACCGACATACACCTTTGCGGGGATCGACCGTGGAGATCGGACACCCTTTAGAATATTTTTTCCAATTTCTATGTATTAGCATATCAAACCTCCTAAACTTCAATTTTTACATATAAATTGTTCAACTTTATGCTAAAAATATAAAAATTGGGTGATTTTTAAGCAAAAAAGTGAAAATTAGGTGGTTGAGATGTCAATTTATAAGAATTGTGTGGTTTGTATCTAATTATGCCTTTTTTAGACTTTTAATTTACATATATACCACCAAATTCTCATTTATTTAGATAGCTAACACCTAAACTTGTCCTTGTTATACTTCTACCACCCAAATCTTTCCAAATAAATAAAAATATCACTTTTTAAATTTTTTTTTTTAATTTTCAATACATATTTTTAGGCCTAGGGAAGATGAAATGTATGTAAAAATTAAAGTTTTGGTGGTAGATATATAAATGCATATGAATTGAGTGGCATGTATGTAAATCTTCTAAATAATATATAATATATGTAAGAATTTGAAGAGAAAATATAAAGAAGAAGAAAAAGAAAAGTACGAAGCACAGATTATGAAGTAGATTAGATGAAACATTCTCGTACTAGAGCTGTCAAAACGGTTGGTTGTTCGTAAACAGCTCGTTCGGTAAGTTACCGAGCCAAACACGATTTTTTTGTTCGTGTTCGGCTCGAAAAACCACTCATCAATTATATATAATTGATGAGTTAAAAAAAATAATTCACTATAAAGCTATAATGATTTATAATCAATTAAAAGTATTAATTAAGAAAATAGAATAAAAATTATTAAATTGGATTCAAATGATGTTTTAATAAAAATAATAACTTTTAAATCTTGTCACTACGTGATTAGAGTTGTCAAAACGTCTCTTTGTTGTGAACGACTCGTGTTCAGCTCGCTAAGAAAACAAGCCGAACACGAACACAATTTTTGAGCTTGAAATAAAACAAGTCGAACACGAACGAGAGCCAAACAAGATCTGAGCCTAGGCTCGCTCGTGTTGGGCTCGTTTACACCCCTGCCTCCTACTATGTTTTATTCACATTAATTACCTCAATAGCTCCATCATCCTGCCGCCGCACTGTAACATGCCACCTCCCCGGCCGGCTGCCGCCGAACGGCTCACCTTCTCCGCCCCACAAATCCCAGGCGTCCATCTCCTCCTCCCCTAAACCAACATACTCTATTCCCTCCACCCTCTCTCCAAACCTCACATGTCTTATAAGATCGAATTGCAGAGCATATGATTCTATATACTCCATCACCTGCCTATTATTAGGACAGACCTCGGTCACCTTCTCCGGCCACGGGAAGTCGGAGAATTGGTAATCCCATCTCGGAGACTGAAGCCGTGTCGAGGCCGGCGTGTTCCTCCACAAGCCGCCGATGCTTGACTGGGCCTCGAAGACCACCGGCCGGAATCCTCTGTGCAACAAGGGTTTGCCGGTTGGGGGGCGATGCCGGCGCCGATGATGCAGACTCTCTTCTTGGATTCCATGGCTGCTTAGCTCTCTTCATCTCCCTGCGAAGTTTATAGGAGTTTTAGCTACGATTTGGGTGAAAAAGATGAGGAGAGTTGTTCATAGTAGTGTTTTTTTAATGAGGATTGGGTGGTTACTGTTTGGCAGCGATGTGGATGTCTAAGCGTCGCATGCTTTCAAGATATTGGAGTCTTTTTTTTTAATTATTATAAGATTATTCTTTAAGTGATATTTACATACATGCCACTCAATTTATGTGTATGTGTTGTATTTATGTCTTTTATTATAATTAAGGGGTAATTTGGTTTTTTGGTTTTTTTTATTTTTGTGCCATGATTGTCATGTGTAAAAGTGACTTAAGGTTAATGGTAGAGTTATGGTGAGAGTGCACATTTGTTTTTGTTTCTCCTCGTCTGATGCTAGTGAAATCTCCCTCCTCGCGAATCAACTTAATATTGAACCACGTAAATCTTTTGTGTTAGATATGTAAATACATAAGAATTGAGTAGTGCGTTTCTCATTCTAGTGTGTTTCTCATTCTTCTTATGATTTTTCATGACTAAGAATACACAACCATTCATTGTTCTTGAAAAAAGACTCAAATAATCCAAACAAACAATGTGATAATGTTGCTAGCAATTATTTGAACTAACAAACAACTCACAACATATAGAATGTAAACCATAACATATGATCATAATAATTATAGTCATTGTAGTTTCGACTCGAGTTTAGCATAATCAGTAGGGCAATAGGGGATAAATAAGTCTGTAAAAAATCTCTTCTTCCTTCTAGGGTTGCAACCCATATCTATGCACAACTGATCATAATACCAAGTGTTAACAACGGTGATACAATTCCTACGATAACACTTGCTCGAACTACCTAAATATGTCTTATAGAACAGATCCCACTCCTTTATATTCTTCTCCATGTTTCTTTTACTTGGCAGCTTGAAGCCACCGTCAAGGAAGCAAGCCAACCACCTCGCCCTCATCTCTGAAGTAAAGAGGTTCGATAGATTCTCTGAATATCCGATAATGGCCATCTGTGGAATGTGCGGATGTATGCATTCTCTGCAACAAAACGAACTCGATTATGTATGTAGAGATGTTGGTTAATGAATATTAGGAGCATTCACATATCATTAAATTAGTATGTATTTACATATCTAACAAGTAAACTTTCCTTTCGTACACTTTTACCACCAAATCATTCATACAACATCAAAAATACCACTATTTTGAACTTTTAAAAATGAAATACTCTTTTTGAACTTGCATTTAAGGTGGCATATATGTAAAAATTGACGTATAGGTACTTGATATGTAAATTCATAAGAATTGAGAGGCATGTATGCAATTCTTTCTAAATATTAATATGAGCATTTGCATGAATAGCATACATTTCTTATGTATTTACATAACTTTCACCTAAACCTTCATGTTTGTACACATAATATTAAAATCTTTAATATCACATAACAAATAGCACTATTCATATTTTTAAAATGAATACACCAAAGTGCTGCATGTAAATATGAAATTATAGATGTAAGATATGTAAATACATAAGAATTGTATGTAAATCTCCATTATTAATATTAATGATAACTTTAATTTTTACATTTATACCATCTAAATCATTCATATAACATCAAAAATGTATCTATTTAACTCTTAACATGTCTTTCATTTTGTTGAATCTTGATTTGTTCATAAATCACACCCCAGTGGATAGAGCGTAAGAAATGAGAGAGATAAAGAAAGAGTCAAAGAGAAGAGTGCACATTAATGAACATTAATATGTCGTATTAGTCGCTCATACTATGCACTATTCTCTTTGTTTCTCGTTTTAATTCCCCCTCATTTCTTATGCTCTATGTTAAGGGTGTGATTCATGAATAAATCAAAATTCAACACATTTTTAGAAAAAAGATGATATATACATAAAAATTGAAGTATATGTCTTAGAATTGTAAATACATACGAATTGATGGAGTGGTAAGTATGTAGAACTTTCTAAATATAATTAAGATGAGGCTAATGATGACGACAACGGCGATGATGCGTACCTATAAAGAGGAACTATCGTGTCTTCCGTGCCTGCAACTATCTTTTGGAACCAAGGAGAGATGAAGATGTTTCGAAGTTTTTGATCACCCTTATACCCAGTGGCATAGATCACCAAATCAGATTCTATGGAGGTAGTCCCATCTTCTATGAGAACACCATTGTTGCAGAATTCAAAGGTCTTAGAAGGTTTCATAATGATACTTCCTTCTTCCACTTTACCATAAAAGTTTTTTGGTAATATACAAAACAAACCAGCAGCCATATCTTGGAAGAAACTATGCTCTGGTACCATCCCATACTTTTTCATGGGAATAGTTTTAATCAAGTAACTCTCTGTGAATTTAGAGAAGATCCACCTCTACAATTGAAAATTACACTTTTTGTTATAGTTAAGAGAAACCAACTCCATATCTAACATCCAAAATTTTATATTCGTGAACATGTTGATGCCATAAATCTATTCATGAAAAAGTGTATTTCACTTTTAAGAAAATAGTATGGGAGGTATCTCTTTTTTTTTTTAATGTGATGTTAAGGATTTCAGTGGTATGTATATAAATATGAATATTTAGGGGTTGCTAAAATAAGGGAAATTTACATACATAGCTCACAATTCTTATGCATTTACATATCTAAAGCCCAAACTTTGATGCTTACAATTATAATATAATGATGATATAAACTTATGCATGAAACGATGTATTTCATTTTTAAAAAGATAGTAATGGCAGTGTCTTTGAAGCCGTATTACAAATTTGTCAGATTTGCATGTAAATAATACATATTTTGGAGTAACAACGAGCCAAAAGTGCATTTACATACTAACACCAAACTTTTCAATTTATACGTAAACATGAGACCATACTAATACATGAAAATGTGTTCCTCACTTTTAAAAAGCTAAAACAATGGCATATTAACATAAAAAGGTAAATTTTAGATGTTAGATAGATGTAAATAAATAAAAGAATTTGGGGGTACATATCTAAATAAGTAAAAAGTGGCATACCAAAGGGGAAAGCAGGGTGGCTAGGAGGCTTAACATGAGTCCTTCTCCAGGCTTGTGAAGAAGCAATTCTGAGAAGCGATTTAGATACATGTATGGTAGAGGAATCCCCCATGCTGTCAGCTGAGATATATTCCATCGTTTTGTTCGTACTATCATTGTGCAAGGGATTTCAGGCCCTGTTGATAAGCATCATTATAATTTTCTTTAGATTTTTCTTTACATACATACCCCTAATCACACATCAAAACCTTATTTTTTTACATTTATACCCCCAAAATTATTCACATCACATAAAAAATATCAGTTTTAACATTTGAAAAAGTAAATACGTCATTAAAGTAGGGATTGAAATATAATGTTTTTGTATGTTACTCAATTTTATACAAATAGGGAGATCATTTTATGAGAAAAAACTAATAGACAAAACATATTACTCTTCACTATTGTTCGTTATTCTCTTTTTCTCTTTCTTACGCTCTATTCGTTAGGGTGCGATTCACGAAGAAATCAAGATTCAATAGGTACACATATGTAAAAATTGAAGTTTAGGCGGTAGATATGTAAATACAAAGGAATTGAGTGTAATGTATGTAAATACATAGTAACTTGAGTATAATGTATGTAAATTGTTATTTATATCTGTGATTACAATTGTCTTATGGTTGTAAGACAATTTAATTGAGTGTTATTTATACCACTTAATTCCTATGTATTTACATATCTAACTTGTAAAACCTTTTTTTTTTCTTTTTGCATTTATACGATTCAAAATTTTCATATCACATCAAAAATTTAACTTTTAAAAAGTAAAATACTCCATTTCATGCGTAGGTTTGGTGGCATGTGCGGTTGTTAATGAGCCAATTTCGAGCTGAGATAGGGCTGTCTCGAAATCGGCTCGAATGGATTCATTTAGGATTGAAATCAGCTCATGACTTGTTATGTTTGATTTCGGGCCAGCTTGACCCGAAATCAATACGAGCTGACTGAAATTTGAGTTATTTGGATCCGTTCCAGCTCAAAATCAGCTTGATCTAGCTCAAAATCAAAACAATATAGCTCAAATTGAGTTATTTCGATCCGTTTCTGCCCGAAAACTACTCCTAGCTCTTTATATTTGATTTTAATTAGTTTCATATATAATTTTAATAATAATAACATTTTCAAGCAAAATTCAAAACCCCAGTAGTGTATATATATATTAATATTTGCACATTCTGCAGCTATATCCAAAGCTGATTTGAGAAAGCCCACAACAGTGACTCGCTTTCCCTTCACTAATTCGGCGGCGGCTGCATTGTGCATGTTGGAGTAATCCATAGAGTGGATCACTTCACCCTTGAAAGCCTCCGGACCTTTTCCTTTCGGAAAAGTCGGGATATTTGGAACTCCGCTGAACCGTCCGATGCAGAGGATCACGAAATCCATCACATGCACCTTTTTTTTTTAAAGAAAATTATAAATTAAAAAAAATATATATTATATTTAATTAAATATTTTCTTTCTTTTTATTTAGAAGATTTTACATAGTTATCACCCAATTTCTAGAGAAATTATTCCATACGGCATGCGGTGTCCGATCTCCACGATCAAATTTAAAAAAAAAATAAAAAAATTGAAAGTGGGACCTACCGACATACATCTTTGTCGGTGATCGGCGGTGGAGACATAATAATTTTTCCAATTTCTATGTATTAGCATATCAAACCTCCTAAACTTCAATTTTAACATATAAATTGTTCAACTTTATGCTAAAAATATAAAAATTGGGTGATTTTTAAGCAAAAAAGTGAAAATTAGGTGGTTGAGATGTCAATTTATAAGAATTGTGTGGTTTGTATCTAATTATGCCTTTTTTAGACTTTTAATTTACATATATACCACCAAATTCGCATGTATTTAGATAACTAACACCTAAACTTGACCTTTTTATACTTCTAGCACCCAAATCTTTCAGAATAAATAAAAATATCACTTTTTTTTTTTTAATTTCAATGCATGTTGTTAGGCTTAGGCAAGATGACATGTATGTAAAAATTTAAGTTTAGGTGTTAGATATGTAAATACATATAAATTGAGTGGCATGTATGTAAATCTTCTAAATAATATATAATATATGGAAGAATTTGAAGAGAAAATATAAAGAAGAAGAAAAAGAAGATTATGAAGTAAAGTACGAAGCACATTATTTGAAACATCGTCGTACTAGGGCTGTCAAAACGGCTTGTTGTTCGCAAACAGCTCGTTCGGTAAGTTATCGAGCCGAACACAATTTTTTTGTTCTTGTTTGGCTCATTTTGGCTCGAAACACCGCTCATCAATTATATATAAGTGATGAGTTACAAAAAATTAATTCACTATAAGGCTATAAAGATATATAATCAATTAAAAGTATTAATTAAGAAAATAGAATAAAAATTATTAAATTGGATTCAAATGATGTTTTAATAAAAATAATAACTTTTAAATCTTGTCACTACGTGATTAGTCTAAACATTTTATGACTACGTGATCAGGGTTGCCAAAACGCCTCTTTGTTTGTGAACGACTCATGTTCAGCTCGTTAAACAAATGAGCAGTTCAGCTCGCTAAACAAATGAGCAGAACACGAACACACTTTTTGAGCTCCGATGTATAAACGAGATGATTACAAATAAAATTTTGTTTATGAGCCTAGACTCGCTCGTGTTGGGCTCGTTTACACCCCTACCTCCTACCATGTTTTATTCATATTAATTACCTCAATAGCTCCATCATCCTCCCGCCGCACGGTAACATGCCACCTCCCCTGCCGGCCGCCGCCGAACAGCTCACCATCTCCTCCCCACAAATCCCATGCCTCCATCTCCTCCTCCCCCACACCAACATACTCTATTCCCTCCACCCTCTCTCCAAACCTCACATGTCTTATAAGATCGAATTGCAGAGCATATGATTCTATATACTCCGTACTCCATCACCTGCCTATTATCAGGACAGACCTCCGTCACCTTCTCCGGCCACGGGAAGTCGGAGAACTGGTAATCCCATCTCAGCGACTGAAGCCGTGTCGACGCCGGCGTGGTCCTCCACAAGCCGCCGATGCTCGGCTGGGCCTCAAAGACCACCGGCCGGAATCCTCTCTGCAACAAGTATTTGCAGGTTGTGAGGCCGCTGATGCCGGCGCCGATGAGGCAGAATTCCATGGCTGCTAAGCTCTCTTCATCTCCCTGCGGAGTTTATAGGAGTTTTAGCTACGATTTGGGTGAAAAAGATGAGGAGAGTTGTTCATAGTAGTTTTTTTTATGAGGATTGGGCTGTTACTGTTTGGCGGTCGATGTGGATGTCTAAGCGTCGCATGCTTTCAAGATATTGGAGTCCTTTTTTTATAAAATAATTATAAGATTATTCTTTAAGTGATATTTACATATATGCCACTCGATTTATGTGTATGTGTTGTATTTATGTCTTTTATTATAATTAAGGGGTAATTTGGTGTTTTGGTTTTTTTTTTTTTAATTTTTGTGCCATAATTGTCATGTGTAAAAGTGACTTAAAGGTTAATGAGAGAGTTATGGTGAGAGTGTAGAAGTTGTAACCTCATGTTGTTTGTTTTTCTTTCTCCTCATCTGGTGCTAGTGAAATCTCCCTCCTCGCGAATCAACTTAAAAAGGGGTAATTTGGTGTTTTGGTTTTTTTTTTTTAATTTTTGTGCCATGATTGTCATGTGTAAAAGTGACTTAAAGGTTAATGAGAGAGTTATCGGGAGAGTGCACGTGAGAGTGCAGAAGTTGTAACCCCATGCTATTTGTTTTTCAAGCTCCTCATATGGTGCTAGTGAAATCTCCCTTCTCACGAATCAACTTAATGGTGAACCACTTAAATCTTTTGTGTTTCATTGTTGTCGTGTGAATTTCTTTGTTTATGCATTGTTTCAGCATAACAATTGATATCAGTATTTTGAGTTTGTGATTGAAGCACGGTTTGGCTTCAACAGAAGCGAATCCGACGTGTTGCCGGCATTTTTTGCAATAGGAAATCTGGCTTGCTTTGAAGATAGATTTGGAAATTCGACGACATATCGACAGTAGGTCGGCAGCTTGTAAGCGGAAATCTGGCGAATGGACAAAGATGGTACTCGAGAAGGAACTGTAAGAGGATGTTTGAAGGGAGTTCTGACTATAGTTTTGACGATAGTTTCAGTGGGAGAGGTTCTGACAACAGTCCAACATGGTCTGGCAAAGGAATTGGCCGATGGTAACAGTCCGACGCAGTCCAGCACAGGAAGGTTCTGGTCGGAATGTTGCGTGGAAACACGTGGAACAAGGAATCCTTGCAGAAGATGGTCCGATATTGCGTGGAACAAGGAATCCTTGCAGAAGATGGTCCGACAGTTCGACGTTCTTGCAGCTTCCAATGATCTGACGGTCTTGTAGCGGTTTCAGGAGTTTATAGGACTACTTGCTAATTATCTAGCCGACCTAACCGACCAGATACTTGTCGAAGAATCAACTCTGGTGAACATTGATACCCACCAATCAACACAAACGGAATCATCCAACTGAATAAAGATATGAATGACTCACCAGCCTAGGAACTACGATCCAACATAAAAGGGTTCAACCACAGTAACAATAATCATGACGATTACTTTGATTGACCGACAACAGAGAATTTTAAGAGCAATATAGACATTTCATAATATAACTCACATCCATTACAAATATAAGAAATACTTATTCTTAATACATTTTCCCTTTTATTAAATTTATATTTTTATGTAATAGGAAAAATTTCAATGGCATAAATGTAAAATTAAGCCATAGATATGCAAATACATAGGAACTGGGCGAGATACATGTAAATGCCACACATTTTTTTTTTTTTTTGATAGGAAGTGAGGAGTTTATTATTGGCTCTATGATGGAAAAGTATAGTGGAGGATGATGTGGCCAATTTGGCCTATTGTTATAGAGTTTAATTAGCCTAAGATATCATTTGATTAGTTGTAATTTCTAACTTATGATTGATTGATTTTTTTATTTTTTTTATTTTTTTATTAGGTCTATGTTAGCATTAATTTTAAAATTCATAGACTACTAATATACAACAATTTATTTTTACATACAAAATGATTGAAGATAAAGTTATAATTGCTTTTCTAAATGCTTGGAAAATATATAAAAGTTGAAGATTAACCTACAATATATTTGATGATACAAAATAATATTAATTATTAAATATTATATATATATATATATCTATTGAGATTAGTTGATCTGGTATTTATTTGTCAATTGTAAGTCTCATATGGTTTGGGGTTCGATTCCCTCCGAGTGTAGGGTGTAGTACTCGAATTATAGACGCATGAGAGATGATCAAGACTCATATCATAACCTCTGACCATTCCTTTATATATATATATATATATAATGGTCAGCTCTCTTAATAGTGCATATTAATATATCAAAATGATGATAATCATGAAGGCAAAAGAATAATATTTTATTCCCATAAGAGACAAGAAATTTATTCTTGAGGAAGGGTTGAATTGGGAAGGGTATATATGATAAGATATCATGATGAAAAGCAAGCTGGCCATATCTTTTAAACATCCTATTTAAACAAGGGTTAATAATTTTGATCAAAATATGATTAATATGATCCTCAAAACCATTATATTTCTTTAGAGATTAATTTAATGCACATGGATATTAATAAGATTTAATATTGCTCAAAATTTAAAATAAAATTAGTGGATTTGAAACCTATATTGACTCAACTTAAAAATGCAAAAACTAAGTTAAGTATTGAGCAATTAGTGTGACTTGGGTTATGGCTATGTATATAGAATTAAGGTACAAGATCTCTTACGCATTGTCTTGGCCTTCTGCTCTATTGGAATGCCCGTATCTTATTTTTAGTGCATACGCCAACCCTAGCACTCTAAAATATATAATAAAAGAAAAATATTCAATTACTTGCAAAATAGGAATTAGAAGATAAATATATATGAAAATAAAAAATATACTGAATCATATCCCGTGGAGGAATTACTTAATAAGCACCTTAAATAAACATCATTTCAATATAATCTATAGCTTTTCACTTGATGGACATGACTCCCAATAAGAAGATCACATATACCATATCCTAGTGAACATGTCTCAAACCTAGGGATCAAAAAAGGTAAACACATAAAATATGTGGCTAGAAATAAACTAATATAGAATAATAACAACATATATAAAAGTTCTAACTATACCTTACCCTAAACTAATTCATCATCTACTGGTGTGTCTTAACCCAACATCTAAGTGCGTGTGAGTCATTGTAACTAACTATGAGTTCATATGATTCTGATGGAGTCACCAAATTTGGCTCCATCCTAAGCATCCAAGTGAGTATGGATATGTCACTTGATTCATTTATTTTTATAAATAGACTTCAAATTATAAATATATATAAGAACTTATATGAAAGAAAATAATTTTTAATTTTAAAAAAAAATTGATCTTATTAATAATTTAAATAAGCTATGTAATTAGTTTAAAAATATGTATTTTTAAAAAATAATCATAAGCATAATTATATTTATGAGTAATTATTTTTATTTAAAAAATGATCATATATATGATCTAAGTAATCAAAGTGATATATCCAAGATTACTTAGACACTTAGCACAACCACATAAGATTTAGATTATAATGTAATAATTTACATTGTTTAATAAAATGTGCTCTTGAACGATGCTCATTGAGCACTAAAACATTGGGGTGTCTCTCATCTAAAAGGGTTCTTGTCATTGAATGTAGATATTTCATGCAAATGATATGCAAACACACACAAAAAAGATGATAGTGCAACCATACAAATGATGTGGCTATGGATGATAACATAAATGGATATTTGCTTAAGTCTGCTTAACTTAGTTAAATTGAATAACACACTTACATAAGAATGTAATTTTTATTATATATAAATCTATTTTTTTAAAAGAAAAGCATTAACAAGAACATTAATTTTTTTTTTAAAACATAACCTGTATACTAACAAAAATATGAAAATAATGTTAAGATGATGAAATTATATCATGATATGATGCTTGCACACTTAAAAGTTGACATATGAAACACTTGTACACATATTCATATATAGATGCCATAAATGAATGCTAGCAGGTTAAGTGTCATGATAACTAACATCCAGTCGCTTAAATATAAGTTGGGTTCATTAAACTAATAATATTTATGATACTATCAATATAATCTCATAATTAATTTAAAATAACAAATAACCTAGATTAATACATATGTGAAGAACAATTAAAAAACATAAGGCAATATAATGAGATGTCATAATACCAAACATGAAATAACATGCAAATAAATGTACACTTAAGTATTATAATTAAACACATGAGTTAAAGACAAGAACACATTATGACTCAGTAACACATGCACAAAAACAAATGTTCCATTCAATGTCATAAAAAAAATCAAAGTGCAAAACCTAACCAAACTCATCAAGGTGAACTAGGGTTTTGAAGTGATAATGCACATATTCATAACATTAAAATATCATGATCATATGCTCAAAGGCTCAAAGCTTTTTCATATAAAATTTGTGAAGATACCCATAAGGAAAGCTTCATAAACCAGAGGTTAAGATCCCAAGTCTATACCTCCATGGGTATAGGCATCATCACATCCACCGAAGTGGTGGAACCCCAAACAAAAGTAAAAAAACTATGATTTCAAAAGCAAACCAAGGTATTAAAACCATTAACTAAATGGAAGTGTGTCTAGGCTCATGGAATGAGTAAGGGTGGTATGGAAGAAAAGTTTCCTAACATAATGAGTTTCTCTAATATCAACTTAACTTAGGGACTGAATGGGGTGGATGCAACTTTTAAAAAGGTGGTTATAAAGTTGTGGTGGAGAAAACAACCTCTTAAAAAGTTTTGATGAGAATTAACAAAATTTTATTTTATAAAAAATAAGACAAATTTCTTACAACTATGACAGTTTAACAAGTCAGGTTAAAAAAAATAAAATAGTTCCCCAAATGGAGTAGTGGCGGTGGTCTGAAACACAAAAAAAAGTAGAAAGTTGTCTCAAACAAACCCTTGAGCTCTACCCAAAGAAATTTATTGGTTCTAAGGGAGATGTAAAAGATAAATTGATATGGATTTAATCATCACGG